CCGGAGGCCGTATTTCTACACAGACGGTCTTCAACATCAAAAGGTATGTAGTAGCTCGTTTAAGTGTTGTAGGAATAGAGGACGCACGTGCACATACACGAACAATTTTTATTGTATTTGTCATAAAAATTGTATTCACTTCAGAGTACGATGAAGCAATCTATTGAGGGGAAGGATAACACTAAGTGTACCAAAGATTTCCTAGAGGATATGGAAAAGAGATTACCTGCGTACTTCCGAAAAGGGAATCCTTTCAACTAGGGATAATATTATTTATTTCAAACGAGTTAAGTTACAATGTTTGTACATATGGTATGGCTCTCATAGCCGTTGTAGTGGTTCGGGGAAGATCGATGGGAAGAAGTGGTCAGTAAATTCCCTGGTGAATCTTGGACCAAGTGAGTCGACAATGGAGGATATGCGCTGGGTCAATTCAGGCCGGTGCTGACAAAATACTGACACCATCGAGTGTGCCACATATTCGCTTTCTGACCTACTAAATAGCGTACCCACCTATGTGGTTCGGATCGAGTCTTTATCGTGTAGCGCTGTGGAATGGGTTAGTGCAGAGTACGAAATGCCAAGTAGGACCAGGTTATTCGTCATAATTCGATTGAGGAGCGAGGTTAGGGGTGAACCGATGCCGCACCAGACCACGGATGCACTCGGTATGTGCTGGTTTGCCTGTATTGGAAGTATCATAGGCGGAACCAACAGGCGCGATTAATTGGTTTGGACCGAAATTTGGAAGTAGTACTTCAATTAGGAACGAAGAAAGCTGACAGGATTGTTGAGGACTATCTGCGCTTTATAGACTGTGAGCAAAAGCCTCGTGCCTTTAAACCTTAACACAGAAACGGATACAATCTGTACTTGTCAAAACTGCAAACTATCGACAGGTAATTTTATGTGCAGATCTACAGAAACCCTGTTACCAACACTGTTACTGGAGTGTTCTTCATGACACCATCCATGCGAGACGCCTATATTATGTATGGTCACGTCGTTTGCTTAGACACCAAACATCGAGGATCCAATGATTAAAGATGGCAGATTTCGATTGTAACTGGTCCCAGTAACAACAACAAAATACGGTATTTTGCTGTCATGTTTGTATACCAAGAAGTTCATTAAATATACAAGTTAGCTCTAGCGTCATTACAAAAGTCCTTAGGAACAACAGAAATCAAAAGCAAGATTGTGTTTGCAGACGGTTTTATGAATCAGTCTGCCGTTGGCGAGGAAAGATTCTTCTTCAGCAATAGATATCATATCAAGAAGAGTATTAAATCAAACCTTAGACAAGATTATGCAGGTACTGTGTGTGCTGATATCAACACTGCTTTAGATCCGGCGACCAAAGCCGTGTGTGAAGAGAAACTGAAGTCTGCTATAAGTACTTTGATGAATAATGGAAGGCAGAACTACAAAAGTCTTCAAGATATACTTCTACGATCAGAGCACGTGTGTGATTGGGGCATAGAAAATCGGTTTACCATGGGTCTCGTGGGGGAGCAGATGACGGAGAGTGCTTTCTCCCAGCATGGAAGCTGGACAATCATGAGCGTATGACTATGCACAAGGTTACATCCATTACGATTAGTAGGTATCAAGCGAACCTGCAAAAGGAACGCGTACAGCAGTCAAACTATGCGATGTATCATAGAATTGCAGACTGGGGCAATGTTCTGGATTCCAACCCACAAAACGAGCCAGCACATGTTCGAGAATGTAGAAAGTGAGCGTCCGCGAATTGTGTGAAGGCATACATAGCTCAAACTGCTCTCATGCGTCAATACAATGTAGCTCGTACAACTGTAAACGATGAATATATTTACACGAGGGGCGACAACAAGCGGACATTACGTACAGTGAATAGATCAGCAAAACATGGCAATACAAGGTATGTGAATAGAAACGAAGAAATGTAAACTTCGATGGATATTTCTATGTTTTAAACTATGTTATATAAACTAAAATACAATTTAAATCAGTTAAAATTTAGCAGTGGTAGCTTGTGTAGGAATGATCGGCACTGCCTCTTGGTAAGAGCCTTAATATCCTCGATTACACAGGACGTACCTCTAGCTGTTCTTTATTGAATAATTTTCACTAGAAGTACTAAGTGTTCATGACCACCTGTCTAATTTGAAGATAGACATAAGAACGTAAGTCATGTTAATACATTAGCTAATATAAATATAGTTCCATCTGAAGAAAAGTTAAAAAAGAAAAAGACTTATTGGATTTTGGAGATTGGCGGGAAGACCAAAACCTGTAAGTAGTAGTTCAGAGATTATAAAATTTAGTTTAGAATATCCTACATCTACTAATGTCTCAAATAGGTCCAAGTAGATGAGTCATACCAAATACTCAGGCTATTGGAGCCATCAAAGTGAATTTAGAACACTCTGGAAATATTGGAAAAAGAACTTGTATTAAATTATTTTAATTACAAATAAAAACCAATGTGTTATCTCATTTGATCTTGATATTTTAGACTGACCGGAGGCCGTATTTTTACAGAAGCTGTATACCATATATATATTTTATCTTTTCTCATTTTGTACCTGCTATTTATTTCAGCTTCGTATGCGGATGTTCGGAATGGCAACACTTCCATAGACCATGCCGTCACATACTGGTTGTGTGCGAGCATATTGGTGATCCACTTTTCAAAATCTCATATTTTGATTCGTGCTGGAAGTTGGATCTACTAACTGAAAAGGATCTGACTGAGTTGCCAGAGAAAGAGAACAACTTCAAGGACGTTTTCGACTCTACAAATTTAAGCATAACCAATCTCGACGATCACGGGCACGAGTCTGCTTCTGCGTCTACTGATGTATACCACTTCTCACACCAACTTGAGTGAGAAGTTCAGTGAATATCAAAACCTGATTAGTGGTATGTACGGAATTGCTGAGAAGCATGGTAGAGTGGACTTTGTGAAGAAGTTATTGCCCATAGTAGAAATGATGGTCCCAAACTTCGAAGGACATTCCGATCGTGAGTTATTGGCGGAGCTTGCTAGGGGGCTCAACAATTACGTCAACAGGTTGGCAGACAAGAATGTACCAGTTGATGACTTGTATCAAGATTCGTCTCAAGTGGCTAGACAACCTAGTGGGCAAGCTAAAAAACGAGCGCATGGATATGAGGCGAAACGAAAGCCCAAACGTTTGCCAGATCACAGCACGAATACAGGCAAGTTCTAAATATGAGCAAGTGCTATTTTGATACACACATGTATAGTACATAATTTGTGCCAATTAACAATTTTACATAATTTTTGCAGCTGTGGAATCAGAGCAAGAATATAAGGAAAGAAAAAGGGATTTTCAAATATGCGCCAGGAACAAAATCATATGTCCTCCAGCCCCAGCCCTACGCTCAAGATGGAGTACAGTGATACGAGTGTATATGAGGATTTAGCAACATCGTTATCTCGCCCTTATATTTCGATGTCGCAACCGACACGGTCTGCTAGCAAAATTTCTCTGTCGCAACCGGCACGGTCTGCTAGCAAAATTACTTCCAGCCCCAGCCCTACAGTCAAAATGGAGTACAGTGAT